TAACTGGGCGTTTGTGGAAATGCTGTTGGGCCAAAGTGCAGTTGAGTTCCAGTGACCCAATTGCACTCTCGCCCGCAGCGCCTGCCCGCAGCGTTTCTACTGTCTGGTCCCAACTTCAGGGGCTCCAATCAGCTTCTGGCGAGCTGTCAATTTCAACTGTCGTCACCACCCTCACCACCACCACTTGCCGCCGCCAAACGCTGCCTGAACCCAGGTGGTTAACCTTGGTGTACTGCACACGCGCTTCTACGGCAAAAGGACACGTCCCTTGACACCCGTTACTGCAGGCAAACAGAACCTCGCACCCGACCGAACCTTCGCGACGACAAACCCAGCCCGACCGGCCGAGCAAACAAACACTAGCGATCCGACAGAGCAGGGGAAGAGACAGACACCCATACACACACACACACACACACAGCTCAAAATGATTCGCTCCACACAAATAGCCCGCCTCGACGGCCTCATGCTCTGCGCCTCGGTCGACGACGACGAGGCCGAGGCGGCCCTGTCGGAGATCAAGTCGCAGGTCAAGCTGGTCCTGCGGCGGCTGAACCGCAACTCGGAGCCGCAGGCCTCCATCGAGTCGGGCAGCGCCTTCACCCTGCACTACCTCATCGCCGGCGCCGAGGTCGTGCACCTGTGCATCGCCGACCGCTCCTACCCGCGCAAGCTGGCCTTCACGTACCTGTCGGACCTGGCGACCGAGTTCGCAAACACGTACCCGGCCCACCAGGTGCAGTCGCCGACCCTGCGCCCCTACGCCTTTGTCGAGTTCGACACCTTCATCAGCCGCACCAAGCAGACGTACAGCGACTCGCGCGCGAGCCAGAACCTGGACAAGCTCAACGACGAGCTCAGGGACGTGACACAGGTCATGACGAAAAACATCGAGGACCTGCTCTACCGCGGCGACTCGCTCGAGCGCATGGGCGAGCTGAGCAGCCGCCTGCGCGACGACTCCAAAAAGTACCGCCGCGCCGCCGTCCGCATCAACTGGGAGCTCATGCTCAAGCAGTACGGACCCTTTGCCGGGCTCGGCTTGTTTGTCATCTTTTTCCTGTGGTGGCGCTTCTTCTAATTTTATTTTTGATATACGGGGGGCGTGGACAAAAAAGAACAAAAAGGAGGGGACCGTGTCCAAGGGTACACATGGAAAGGGCAAGCGTCGTCTATAAGGGGAACCGGCAGCCAGGGCGAGAAAAGAGGCGACTAGGCGACAACCACACAAACAGGCCAAGCCAGACAGAACGCAGAGGCTCAGTCTATAGGGGACTGTCTGGTTTCCCATGGGCATGGGCAATGATATCGAACGATGGTGTTCAACCCCCAAGACATCTGAGATGTTGTCTTGTTTTGTTTTGTTTTTCATTATCGTCTTGTTCTCATTCTTCTTTTCTGTACATTATCCACACCATGCCTCTATTTACTATTGAAAACATACATGGGTAATTAAGTATAAACTGCGTCCGTCTTTGGAGGGGCTGAGGTCTTGTGCCTCGTGTCAACCAGAAAAAGCAAAAATCCAAGGAAACGGGTATAAAATCGTCCGCTTCCGGAATAAGAGGTCAATATGAAGCAAAGAAGAAGAAAAACAGACGTCATGCGGTCGGTCCCTGTTATCCCTCCCAAATTCCCCTGCGCCGCCAGCCAGCCTGCGCCATCAAGCCGTCCGGAAACGCCGGGCTGGCTCAACAAGGTTTCGTCACTCGTTATCCCGCCGCCATCCCATTCCAAGGTGGCCCCAGACAGTATTGAGAAGCGTAATCAAAGACGAAGAAGATTGAAATGCCAGTCACCAGCATTAACAAGTGCCAACAAGGCGCCCCGGTTCACATAACGGCGCAGTTGGTCTTCTTGGTGGGCATAGTGGGCATAGGCAGCAGGCCGGCGCCGTGGTACCACTCTAGGTGCTCCTGGAACTCAATCAACCCCAGCAGCCCCTCCTCGTCCTGCGCGTACCTGGTCTCGCCGCCCTCCTCGCCCTGCTCAAAGTACGTGTACTCGTCGCAGTAGGGGCACATGACGCGCGCGCGCCAGTCGCCGTTGTCGGGCGGCAGGTGGTTCGCGATGGCCACGGGGGCGAACACGACGCACTTGGGCTCGCCCGTCGACACGCTCAGAGCCTCGGCCTGCCAGTCCGGGTAGCCGCCATAGTAGCCGTAGCCGCCGTTGGCGGTCGAGGGGTGCTGTAGTTGCTGCTCTAGGTTCCGCGTCCTCGAGGGCATCCGGTCCAGGTCCTCCCACACCAGGAAGCCGTCGCAGTAGTCGCACGCGAAGGCGACGTCGCGGTCGCCGAACTTCTCGAAGCCGCCGATGGCATTGCATTCGGGCACCAGCGCCTCAAGGCCAAACGGGGTTGCTTGTGGTCCCTGCGGTGGCGGTGATGCCGGCTGTGCCTGCGGCGGCTGTAGTTGTTCGTTCTGCTGCCCCGCGCTATTATTACCGTTGGGAGAATGGGCCCCGCCGCCTTTGCCGGGCGGCGGCGACATTAGGAAGCCTGGTTTTAGTTGCGGACTCAACATCTGCTGATGTCGCGGCTGATTTGGCGCATGTGAAACCGCCACGCCCTGCTCTAGATCTATAGCAGTGGCGGCGCCTGGGCTCAGCATGCCGATAGACTCGACGCCGTCATCGTCCTTCTTGGTGCGGGTGCTCTCGCGGCGGCCGGAGCTGGCGCTGCCAGGGGCGGCGGTGGGGGCCACCAGCCCCTGGAGCTCACGCTGGCGCCTCTGGACCTGGAAGGCGCCGAGGCAGCGGGCCGGGCCCGGCCCTGTAGCGAATATGCGGCAGGCGGCGCGGCACTGGGTGCGGTGCAGGTCGCGACGCAGCGCGACCGTCTCGAGCACCCACGTGGGGTTGATGGGGCCGCCCGCCCGCGACCAGTCCTTGAAGTTTTGCCCGTGGAAGCTAAACCTTGTGTTTAGGTTGCGCAGCTCCTCGACCGATTTGGCTGTCACATGTCAGTGCCCGTCTTGGCCGGCGGCCGGCAGCAAAGCTGACAGCAGGGGGGAGCGAAGAAGGAAGCAGGGATACATGATTAGACAGGCAGGCAGCAGGGCTTACAGTTTCTGTCTCGCTCGTAGAAGAACTGGCCATTTACCAGGCGCGACATGGCCTGGAAGTCACGCTTGGCTTCGTCCAGGGCCTCCTCGAGGGCGCGGGTCTGCTCGAATTCGTCGGGCCCCCACTGCCGCTTGTCGGCAAACATGAGGGTGCGGATGGCATCGCTGAGCGAGGTGGCAATGGCAGCCAGGACGGTACCGACCGTGTCATTGGCGGCGGCGTTGGAGAGGGGTGAGGCGGAGCTTGTAGCTGCCGGTGGTGCGGCGGCACCTGCTGCTGCCGGTGCCGGCGCCTGGCTGGTTTTTGGCGACGATAGTGGTGATGCTGCGCTGGATCCGCCGGGGCTGATGCTGCCGCTCATCGGGTCCGCTGCCGCGCGCCCAGCTCGGTCCGGCGCGCGTCCCTTTAAGAGGATGAGACGGAGAAGGAGAGAGAAGGGACGAGTCGGCGTCCCCGAGAGCAGCAGAAAAGGGCGAATTCCAAGGGTCCCGCGATGCGCTGCGTCTGATGCTTTTGCCTGGCTGCTTTGCCCGTCTGATCACAGCAGCAGCAGGCGGTCCGCCAGGGAACAGCACTGATAAGCACTCGGGTGGGACCAAAGCCTTAGCCTTAGGTAGCTAAAAGGCAGCACGGCTGACTATCCGAGACAGCCGCACGGAGCTCAAGGGCTGCGGTTGCGGTGCAAGCGGCGCCCAAGGAGACCACGAACGGCGATGTGCCCGAGCTTGCCCCGAATCGAGCGGCTGGGTCTTGTTTTTGCGCAGGGAAGTGAGTGAGCTGTCCAAGAGTGAGGAGAGAAGTGCTGCTGTGCCTCTGGGACGAACGGACGGCGAGAGAAAGAGCCGACGGGCAAGAAATCGGAAACCTGCGTCGTCCCGCTCTCCCCATCAACGCGCGCCTCGCGCGTGTAGCCCGCCCTCTTTCCTAGGGATCACAATGGCAATTCGGCGCTGGCGAGCTGAGGGCGTACGTCAGCGTCCCCAGTCGCGAGATCCGTTGTCAAGAAAAGGTGGTTCCGGACATGGGGCAGGCGGTTTCGACGATTTCTTGGCTTCGCTAAAGCGAGAAAGATGATCGGGTTTGAGAGCCGGGTTTTTCTCTCCTACGGTCTGCGTTTTTTTTCTGACTGCTCGCTTCGGCCTTCCAGTCTGGCCTCTGTGTCCTCTTCTCTCGCTGCCTGGAGGGGGAGGCCTGCCAGGTCTTTTGGTATTTTGTCGATCAATCCTTAATCGCTGGCTTCTTCTTTTTTTTTCCTTTGCTGGATGGAGTTGCGGCTGATCTGGCCACCTCACTCTGCTTACATACTTGTCCGTTCTTGCCGCCGCCGCTGACAAGGCTAGGCGAACCGTGGATGCACAGCTCTTGCTGTATTCGGCCGGTGGGTGGCTTACCACGGATCTGGAACCCGATGCCCCTCGTCAATCGCCCAATCGGCGAGGCTGATGGCGAGATGGTGTATCTGCTGTCGATGAAAAAAAGAGGGTTGCCACGCAGGGGCGAGAAGCCACAGCTGAGAGTAGCGCTAGGGGAGGGGGCAGCTGCTAGGTTTAGGGGCCGTGTCGTGGTTCCTGGCAGGTTCCCCACCACAAGGAGAGGAAAAAAACGGGTTGATGGGGGCGGGAAGGGTCAACGAATGGCTGGGCACCTGGGCTCCTGGGGATAGCGCTCACCAGCCAACTTTTGCCGATTCAGCGTCGCAGCCAAGGCTTCAGGGAGGGAGGATCATGGCCAGAAGCGATGGGAAAAGGGGGCAAGCAGGCGAAAAGAAAGAGAAAGGAAACGGATACAGGGGTCTCAGAAACAGCACGTCAAATCTTGTCTCGACCGATGTTTTGCTCAGCCAACAACAATTGCAGAAACGACAAGGAATAGCTGTCGAAACCAACCAAATTTGGACCCGTCACCAAAGGAAGGCATTCTGACCCTGTTCCTAGCATTGAGGACCATACCAAGCCACCACGATCAATGACAAAAAAAAAAGCACACACGCGATATCGTTTTCTTTGGATTCCGCATCTCCAAATCTGATTCGTCAGGTCGGACGATCTTCCCTCAGCCCTAGCCGCTCCGACCCAGACAGACAAGCAACGCTAGATCCCACCACCACCACTCGCAACCGCTCAGCCACTCATATTGGCGTTTTCCACGCGCGCGGCGCCCCAAGGCTGCATGCAGTAGTCCCTTCCGTCGCCTTTTTCTTTGGTCGATCCCGGTGCCAGGTTAGAACACCCCAAAGAATAGTACCCCCGCATACGTAACCCCCCCCCCGACGGCATTGCCGACCCAGGGGGTACCCAGGTCAGCCTCCGCAAGACGGGAGAAACGAGTCGCAATCCAACGGAGCCGCGGACATGCCCTATGAAATCGCCGCGGCCAGACCCGGGAACCCTGTGCGCCCACACACAGACACGTTCACGCCGAGGATGGCAACGCTTGGGTCGAGTCTGTTGGCTTGTGCGACTAGATGCGCCGAAGCTGACCACTTTGCATAGGCTAGAAAGCCCTCCAGCGAACCCGTTGGGTGTTCCGCGCTAGCATTTCCTGACCTGATTTGGATAGCGGGAGTTGGCCCCAAGGCTCTTTGTGTAAGGCATCCAGAAGCTTTCTGTCGATAGTTCCCGCCTTGTTACGTTGCAGAATTACCGTGTGACCTGGACGAGGCCGAGGAGAGAAGGAGGGGGACAGAAAGGACAAATTAGGGGCGCCATGCGTGCGTCCAGATATGAGCACACTTATCATCGTGTTGGGTTTGGTACTGGAGCTAAAGATTGAGAATCCATCTAATCGATACGCCTCGTTTTCTAAGAAATTTTGGCATGCAATCAATCACCTTCATTTCCTCTTCACGGCCTTGGCAGCCCCGGCGTCCGCGCCGCTGGCCTTCCCATCACCACCCTCCGGGCTCTTCGCTGCATCTTCATCTACGGGTGGCAGCGCCTTGCCCTCGTCCTTCTTAACCGCCTCGGTTTCGTCCTCTCCGCCCTGACCGAACTCGTTGACACGGGTGTAGTCGATGCGGTAGGCCCAGCGCTGATAGATGTAGATAAAGAAAATGATGTCATCGCGGAAGGTCGACAGGCGGTGCAGGAAGGGCATCTTGATGGTGAAGGCGAACAGGTCGTCGATGAAGGTGTTGAGGAACTTGTACATCATGGCCTTGGCCGGCATGTGTGCCACGCTCTTGAGTCGGTAGTTGATGTAGAGTGCCGGCACCATCATCAGGAACCCATATGCATACACGGACCCCACCAGCGTCGTGATGATGAACGAGTACCAGCCCTTGTGCTCCTCGTACATGACCGAGTAGACGGCGTACGCAATGAGCAGTGGCACTCCGGCCATGTACATGTACTTGAAGGCGATCTCGTCATACTCCTTGGTCTTCTCCTCAGTGTCGCTCAGCTTGTGCTTATCCTCAAACACGACGCGGTACGGCAGCAGTGACCCGGGCGCCTCGCGCACTCGCACGTTGACAACCGTCGTGACCTTCCAGAGCTCGATAAGGATCCCGACGCCCTGCGACCCGAGGATCATCCAGCTCGTATTTTGGGAGTTGTCCAGCAGGTAGAGGAAGATGATGGCCTGCATGAAGACGTTGGCCAGGATGGTGCGCACCGAGATGCCAACGTTGTCCTTCTTCTTGCGGTAGTGCGCCACGTCCGACGTGAAGGCTAGCGTCTCGAAGATGAGGTGAAGGATGGTCACGACAGTTGTGATACCGAGCAAGATTGGGTTCGTGTCCAGAAGTATCTCCTTGACCATCTCGATCTCGGTGCCGTCGCCGCCGCCGGGCAGGGAGCCTCCCCACGCCGCCGTCTTGGCCGCCTCGCGCGAGTTGAGCTCGATGGAGGACAAGGTGGTGAACTTCCAGTTGGCCAGGTTGTTCAGGTCGATACGCACGGGCAGCGTCTTGACCGTCTCGTTGAGCTGCATCATGTGGGACTTGAGCTGCCAAAAGGTGTTGACAAACAGGATGGGATAGTACCAAGTGTGCTGGCCCGAGCCGTCGCGCGCGCCGGTGGCCTCGAGGTTGACAAACTGTCGCGCCGAGACGGGAGTCTGCGCGAGCAGCAGGACACCCGTGTCAGGGATGAAGGACAGGCTGGCGTTGGGGTGGTAGTAGTTGCCGACCACAGGGACAGAGGGTTGGTTGTCCTCCTCGGCCGCCTCGGCGTCGGGCGACTCGGTCTCGTTCTGCTTGGCCAGGAGACTCCGCAGCTTCTTGACCTTTTTCTTGGCGATGTACTGGGTTAAGGGGAAGGTGAAGTGGTAAGCCGAGCCGGGGTCGAAGCCCTTCTGCTTTGGGTCCAGCACGCTCCCGGCGAGTCCAACGTAGAAATGGCCCCATAGTGTCCCGTTGCGCTGGACCGTGGTAGGAACGTCAATCACGGTCTCGGCCGTACGCTTGTCGGTCCAGTTGCCTAGCGTAAACCCCTTCTCCTCCAGCACGATCTTGCTCTCGGGGGTCGAGGCGAGGGGCGAGGGGATAAAGGAGTCGGAGACGGTGACGACGACATCAAGCTTGCTGCTGGGCGGCCAGATGGGAGCGGCACGCATGGGATTGGGGTTCCACGAGGCGCCCTCGTCGAGCCGGTCTGGGCGGGTCTGATACGGAGGGATGTCACCGGTGTTCGGGACCTCGACGATTTTGCCGTCGCCGTCCTTGATGATCTGGCCAGCCTGCTGGTTGGGGAAGAACTGCTTCATGACGAACTGCATGGCCACATACATGGCCACCATCTGCAAGATTTTATTGATAAAGGACTGCGCCGGCACGGAAAGCAGCCTGTTAGCGCCAAAGGAAACACGGGCAGATAAATCGTGGCAGGCTTGATGAGGCTACTCACGCCCTCCTGCCGCTGCTGCGGCTGGCCAGCCGGGCGGCCCGCCACGGCGGCTTGCTCTGGCATTTTGAAGAGACGGGCGCTTTAGCGCAATAGGTGTCGAGTTCCCGTAGTCCTTGGGGGAGGTGCCAAGGTGTGTTGGGCGAGGTTCCAGAGTGGCGATGTACTCGTCAGGAGGAATTTGTTTGCGCCTTTGGATGCGACGGATATTGATATGGTGGGGGGAGATAAGGGACGTGTACTATGTACTGTGTAAATTCGCGCGACTGGAAAAACTGGAGCAAGCCGAGCCGCAGACAAGACGTGTTCTCAAGCATGGAGCGTGCTCGCTAACCTCAGCGGCTGCATCAATGTAACTCCACTGACGGCCCCTGACCGAGTCTTTCGCCCTAGCTTCTCCATGTGGGCTGTCGCAACCACCCTCGATTCAATTGACAACCCAAGCAACTGAGGGACAGGGGCGGCTCAGACCAACTCCTGCTGGCGGCGACGCAATCGACGCCACTTCCTCCACTTTGCGATGACAGGAGAACAAACATGTAGTCTTGTCATGCAGCTTCCCTTCCACCATAAAGGCTCAATTTCCCACCTCCCCCAAGCGCCATTTTCCCATGCCCACACACGATCTGATCGTGTATCAAGGAATGTTTGTTTGCCTTGCACACAAACCAGAGGCCAGCCATGCTGGACCATTCCGGACGTTCGTCCTCCTCCGCCAGGCCGCTGTATGGCCACATGGTTCACAGCTGGTGTGACACGAGGTCTTTGCGCGCTAAGCTGGTGGCTGGCTCTGTTCTTCAAGCCCGGGGGCATGCCTTGTGCTTGTGTTGCCAGTGCGGTGCGGCCCCATTGAATGCTTGTGGTTTCTCAGTCGAGCATGGATGCTCTCTCCTCTCCCCATGCGGGACAAGGTTGGGCGTCACCGTCTCTTATGTCATACCCGCATCCCGGGAGCCCTGAAGCTAGGGACGCCTCGCTCTCCCCAGGCAACAGCAGGTCACAGGGCCTCGGAAACAGCCAGCCAGGGCGCGGGTGAGCTGCGAGCTACTGGCGACGGCCTCGGCCCTCTGCATCTCCCTCCACTCCATCGGCGCCAACACTACCGCCCTGCTGTTGGTGCACCTCACCGCGAGTCCGCCTTGCCGCCCCACCGAGAACAGGCCCGGACCAACCACGGCGGTTACATGCATCAGAGCCTTTGCTTCTTTGCTCCCGATCTGCTGGCCGGACTAGAAGCAAAGCCGGACGGGTGCACACTGCGTTGGCTTGAACCTGTTGACGTAGTAACACATATTCCTATATAAACCCCTATCTTCTGCTGTCTGCTCCTCGGCCGGGCGTGGCTCTGGCCGGAGCTCCCTCTTGTTTGGAATTTCCGACTTCCGATTGACTTGGTCTGGCCCGGATCCAATATTACATCAGAGATCCCGCACGCAGCCTTCAGCCACTGCGAGGATCGCCTTGCCCTGCTTACCGCCCATTTGCGGTTCCCAACAACACGATATCTTGCATCCCAGACAGCCACCACAGTTGACTCAACCGGCGACTAGTCTTAGGTTGAGGCCACCACCACCCCGCCGGCATCTCCACATTGAGCACATTTATATCCGTTTCTAGGGCGCGCCTTTTCATCTTTGCCAGTCTTGGCACCTCCATTTCTATAGGTACCTACCCACAGCCTTCCTGCCTCTCCTTCCTTTATCGAGACGGCCCAATCTGGCTCAATCTGATTCACCGATCCAAGACTTTCGTATAAGTGCTCTATTTATCACGCATCCTACGCCGCTATCCTTCCTCAAACACAGCCATCCAAGTCTTGCAATATAAACTTCTTTCATCCACACACGTTTTCTTTTATCACCAGGCCACAATGGACTCCGGCAACCAAGCCCCCAGCCGGACGGCGACCCCGGCTGGCCCCAACGGGAACGGAATCAAGAGGACCAAGATTTGCGTCTATTGCGGCTCCTCCCGCGGCAACGACCCTGCATACTTGCAGGCCGCCCGTGACCTCGCCAAGGTCATGGCCGAGCACGACATCGACCTGGGTTAGTGAAACCGAGCTCCCAAGGGAAGCATGTTGGACGTTCAGGAGGCTGACTTTGCCAAACAGTATACGGCGGCGGCACTGTCGGGCTGATGGGGGAGGTGGCGCGGACGCTGGTGTCGCTCAAGGGCCCCGAGTCGGTGCACGGCATCATCCCCGAGGCGCTCGTTAGCTATGAGCGCGATCCGACCTACACGTCCACGTCGGCCGCCGCCGGCGCGGACGGGGACACGCTGCCGGTGCCCGACGAGAAGCTGTACGGCATGACGACGGTGGTCAAGGATATGCACACGCGCAAGAACATGATGGCGCGCGAGGTGCTGGCCGGCGGTCCGGGAAGCGGCTTCATCGCCCTCCCGGGAGGCTTTGGTACCATCGAGGAGCTGGTCGAGATGTGCACGTGGAACCAGCTGGGCATCCACGACAAGGGCGTCGTGGCGCTCAACATCAAGGGCTACTACGAGCCCATCCGGCAGTTCGTCGCGAGCAGCGTCGAGGCCGGCTTCATCCGCCCCGGCCAGGGCGAGATCCTCACCTTTGCCGAGACCGCCGAGGAGGCCATCCGGACCCTGCGCGACTACAAGGTGTCCGACCAGGTCCTGAAGCTGAGCTGGGGGGCCCAGTGATTGGGGGCGCGGTACACATGACTTGGGGGAGAATACAGAATATGTCCCGGCAGAGACATGGGGGAGGACAAGGTTTCGGGGGGGCCCAGTTGGCAAAGGTTCCATGGCACACGGCGCCCATGGTTGCGCCAAGACGCTTGCCGTGGTTGCGCGCGTGAGCGCATGGCGCTCTGCGAGATGTTGTACAATACCCACCCATGTCAGTCCGAACGAGCCGGCGTTCGCTTTTTAAGCCGGTAGAAGTGGCTACAAGGATAGAGGACAAGAAGAACAATAAAAAAAAGAATCAAAAAGATAACAAGGTGCCCCTATCTCTCTGAATATTAGTATTTGTAAAACTTCGTAGGACAGCCAAAGGTGTGTTGGTTCTGTTGTACAGAGGCCAGACCACTACCGCTTAACGGCACTACTACACAGCACTGAGCAGCCGGAGGAGATATCGCCTGATGCCTAAAGGGGTTGGCTGGGTATCTAGAATTGACCGCCGGCCATGCTAGGGGCGGTGGTGAGGGGAAGCAGCTCGTGGTCCCTCAGAGCGAGCTGTCGATTCAACATGTGAATAACGTTTCTCCCCCGTTCCTCATTTTTCCCTCCTTCCGTCCTGCATGGCACTAGGCAAGTCGTCGGTAGTACCTAACCCGATCAATCCCGGCCCTTTCTTTTTCCCCTTCTTTACTCGTCAACATCCATGCCCTCGGCGGCGGCGGCGGCGGGAGCGGCGGGAGCGGCGTCACCGGCGTCACCAGCGTCGCCGGCGGCCTCCCTCTCGTCAGAGACGCTGTCTATCCACTCCTTGACCTCCTGTCCGTCGTAGAGCCTGAAGGGCTCAACGCGCTGCTTGCCGTCGTCGCCCTTTACGAGCCCGACGATGCCGACCGATGTGTTGTCCGTGGTGAGCTCCTTGTCCTGGACCAGGCTCTCCTTGAGAGCGCGGAGGCCGTGCTTGAGCAGCTCCTCGCGGTCGCAGCTGGCGAACTTGTCGAGGTTGCGCTCGAGATAGGTGCGGGCCATCTGGGAGCGGGCGCCGATGGCAAAGGCCACCATCTCCTCCGTCATGCCCGAGGGCTGGAAGTCGAACAGGTGGGGGCCGCGATCGTCGACGCCCGCCACCAGCAGGCCGACGCCGTAGGGCCTCTTGCCGTAGTGCTGCGTGTTCACCTGGGCCTTCTCGCCGATCAGGTCGACGAGCGTGCGCACGGGCAGGGAGCGCCCGTACGTCAGGCGGTGACCCAGGCACTGCTGCTTCATGAAGTTGGACAGCACACGCGCGTCCGACGCTAGACCCGCGATGGCGATGCCGACGTGCTCGTCGAGCGGGAACAGCTTCTTCTGGTACGACGAGAGCTCTTCGGCATTTCGCTATTTGCGTAAAAAGGAGTTAGCCTTTGTCTGGCTGGTTGTTTTTGGGAGGGGTGGTGGTGTGCTGTCGGGTCGCCAAGGCTAGCAAGACGGCTGGAGGGAGGGGGGGTAGCCTCACCTTGACGGCTACTAGGATCGCATGGGTCTTGCTCGCCAGGCCGACGACTACTGAGCCCTGCTTGACTGCCTCTGCTGTGTACTCGACCTGGAAGATACGACCTTGTGGCGAGCTGTGGAGAACAGACGGAAGCAAAAAGACCAGGGCTGGGTCAGCGGGAAGAGCTCGTAGGATCGAAGGTTGTGGGCAGCAAGGGCCCAAACGTGAGCGGCGGCTTACAATGTCACCGAGTCGTTGTCATAGTTGTTTCTGAACATGGTGAAGGCGCCGTCTCGCTGCAGCCGCGCTCAGCTCCCGGGGAGGGTCTTCTCGTGGGTATCGGATTGGGGGGTCGGCGGGGGGTCGTCTGGTGGTGGGCGGGAAATGCGCGGAGGTGCTTCTTCTGGCGGGCGGTGCGGGCTCTGTTGGTCGGCGGGCTTTCGATATGGTGTCAATCAATCGCGGGCAGGCAGCTCTAGAGCTTCGCGGCACAGTGCTAATTTGGAGGGACTGGGGACTGGAGACTGGGGCGGGATGATGGTCCAAGCTCCGGGAGAAGAGCTCAGCTAGTGTCAGGGGTTGGGGTTAGGCTGCTGGCTCGGCTGGGCAAAAGTTGTTTCCTGAGGCAGCCCAGCCAGCCAGCCAGCCCAGAGTCGGCCACCAGCAGGGCTCCACTCTCCAGCCGTCGGTGCGGGTTGCACGCTGACGACGCCGACCACATCCCAGTCTGGTCCGCTCCATCCCCTCCACCCTGTCGCAGAGGCTCCGACACGTCGCCAGCGATTGAGACTTGAGTCCGCGTCGTCGCAACGCACACGGGATCCCAACCATCCCACACACAGCAGCGGCAGCACACGATTGCAACACAGGACACACCGACCGTGGCCCAGAACCAGTCGCGGCCGATTGACGACATTGGATATACGAAATAAAAGCCCCCGAACAAACAAAGACCCTCCTCCCTCCAGCCAGCTCCAGCTCGGCAACCACAGTCCGACGACCCAACCGGCCCAACCGAACGAACCAACCTATCCCCTCCCGGGCGACCCCCCGTTCCGGGCGCTCCGTCAAGATGCCGGCCGCTGGGCTCAAGACCATAATAGCGCTCTCCTTCGTGCTCGCCGTCGGGTTCCTGCTCGTCATCCTCTCGTGCGCGCTCTGGAAGGTCTACTACCCGCTCCTGGTCGTCGCCACCTACGTCCTGGCCCCCGTGCCCAACTGGATATGCGGCCACTGCGCCAACCCGGACGAATTTGTCGAGAGCTCGGGCGCCGCCGTCCTTGACCTGGGCAGGTTCTGCACCGGCTTCCTGGTCGTCATGGGCATAGGTACGTTGTGTTTTTCCTATGCGCTGCGCGCCTTTCGAACGAGTTGGCGGGTTTGTTGCTGACATGGTCAACTTTGCGCTCCTATAGCTCTCCCTGTCGTCCTTGCAGATTCGGGCATGATCAGCGCAGGCGCCCTCGTCATGTCCGTCGCCGGTGGCCTCCTTATCTACGGCACTGTCATTAGCTTCGGCATGTTCTTCACCGAGGAGCAGGAGTTCTAAGAGGTCTCGATGGCCGCTCAGGTGCACGCTATCAGCAGAATCTAGGTCGGGGAATAGCCGACCGAGTCTGGTCGCTTCCAACAAGAGCAGCCGTTCCACTGAAACGTGGTTCAAAGCTCACATCATAACAATGACCGACCCGCATATTCCTCCGTACAAGGACAAGCGGGAGTGGTCGCTTCATGTTTTCAATAGTCTGTATATCATATCATCATCACTATCCACTACGGAGCCTTCCTTTTTCTTCTTGGCTTTTTTTTTTAGCCTCTGTTAACGTCGGCGTGGCTGCAGGGAATTGGGGATGTATGGGCAGTTAAGCTTGTCTATTTTATGATTTCATTGATGTCCCTAATGACCTCTGTCCCATGATGCTCCAGTTGAATGTGGGTGAGCAACAGTCTATATAAAGGCAAGGCAACGCTGGTTGTTGAATCCGCCTAGTTATGCACCCCCTGAACGCCCAGATAATATGAAAACGCCAACGATGCCTCCTCACGGCCTTCTCACGGGCTCACTCTTGGCAGGCAAAGATGCCAAGCGGCCCCGCGAGCTTGACAAACATCTCCTCGCGCTCGCCCTGGGGCGTACTCAGGATGGTGACGGCGCCGCCCGCGCCGATCCTCCAGACCTCGTCGCCGTCGGCGCCGGGCTCGTCGTCCCAGCGGAACATGCTCCGGATGGTGACGCTCCAGTCGCCCCTGCCCGAGACACACATGTAGCCGACGACACCCGAGTACAGGCTCCGCTCGACGTGGCCCTCGACCTCGCGCAGTATCTCGCAGCTACGTTTCTTGGGCGCGCCCGTCATGCTACCCGGCGGGAGGCTGGCGGCGAGCACGTCGAGACCCGTGTACTTTTCCACCACACCACCCATACCACCACCACCGTCCCCGCTCGTCGTCGTCGTCGTCGTCGTCGTCGTCGGCAGCTGGCCCTCGACGACGGTCGTCATCTGGAAGACGCTCCTGTACTCTTCGACGCGCATGAGGTCGCGTGCCGCCACGCCGCCGGCGCCGCAGATGCCGTGTAGGTCGTGGCGGACCAGGTCGACGATCATGAGGTTCTCGGCCTCCTCCTTGGGCACGTGCAGGACGCGCTCGGCGGCCGCGAGCGAGGGGACCGCCGCCGACTTGCGCACGGTGCCTTTCATGGGCCGCATCGAGCACAGGCCCCGCTCGTCGTGCTGCAGAAACCGCTCGGGCGAGCTGCCGACCAGCGTCGCGCCCCCGAGCCGCAGGTACGACGCGAAGGGCGCCGGCTGTCGGCTGCGCAGCGCGCGGAAGAGCTGCCACGAGGAGGTGGTGGAGGAGGAGGAAGGGGGAGGTGAGGTGAGTGAGCTACGGCGGCGGCGCTTCTGCGCGCGCGCCGCGGCGGCGCTGCCGCTGGCGGCCGTGGCTGCCGTGTCGGGCCAGGAGCCGGGGGCGACGGATCCGCGCCGTCGCCGCACGACCGTCTGGTCCGTGAGGCAGAGCTCGTACGACTCGCCCGCGGCGATGTACTCCTGGCACGTCTCAACCTTGGCCTCGTACTCGTCGGCATCGGGCTTGGCGATGGACGAGACGCTGAAAAGGACCCTGGACGCCGGGCCTGGCTTCGACCCACGGCGCGTACGCGGTTGCTGCTGCCCTTGGAACTCGTCGGCGGCGTCGCTACCGGAAGGGTGGCGCCAGCGCGGGGAGGCGCGTAGCGTCCTGATGACCGAGTCGATCCAGGCCTGACCCTTGGCGGCCGGGTCGTGCAGGTGCTGGACGTGCAGGACGCGCTTGGCGTGGTCGACGACGACGGACCTCGTGACCCAGCCGAGGCAGACGTCGGGCCGGCGGTGGCCCCTGTCGGCCGGGAGGGCGACGTTGATGCCGCTCAGGCCCTGCTCGTACGTGACGAAGCCCATGAACCCGCCCATGAACGGCAGGTCGCCGCCGCCGGCCGGGGAGGGGCAGCAGCAACGGGCCTGGCGACGCCGTCCAGCGGGAGCCGCCGCGCCTCGTGGAAGCCGGCCAGGAAGTGCCAGATGCTCGGGTGGCCGCCGAGGGGCACCTCCTCGCGCGACTTGGTCGGTGCCGCCGTGCTGCTGCTGCCGCCGCCGCCGCTGCTGCTAGCGGCTGGGGGCAGGACCGCGGTCAAGTGGCGGTCGCCGGCGTGGTACTCGAGCCGCAGCGCCTCGGGCACGTCGAGCGCCACGATGCTGTAGCGGCCGCGGATGTCGGGCGCGCCACCGGCCGATGCGCTGGCCGAGTCGAGCACGACCTGCTCGCCGCCGCCGCCGCCGCCGGCCTGGCCGAGGATCTCGACGATGTCGACGACGCCGACCCCGGGCGGCAGCGGGATGCTGTCGGTTGAGTGCTGGAAGTCGAGGGCGTGCGAGCGCCAGGACGGTGGCTGCTTTTGCTGCTCTTCTTCCTTTACAGCAGACGGGATCTGCGAGAGCAGGCTCGCGCGCCTGGACCGCCCGGCCAGGATGTCGTGCCCGCGGTCGATGACGCGGCCGCGCGCCTCGTTCCACGACACGGTCTCGCGGAACCAGTTGACCACCACCTTTGCGCCCTCGAGCTCGGTGCAGACCGACTCCGGATGGTACTGCAGGCCCCAGAAGGGCCGCTTGCGGTGCCGCACCGCCGCCAGGACCCGCTCGGGGCCGCCGCCGCCGCACTCGTCCTCGCCATCCCTCGGCTCCTCGACCCAGGCCAGCGGCACCAGCTCGCCGCTCCCAGGGCCCGCCTCCCACTTGCCCCTCCCACGCCGCCACTCGGCCTCCGGGACCGCGTCCTGCCCGACGTCGGCGCACAGGCTGTGGTACAGCGTTGCGCGGAACTCGCCCACGCCGGCGAAGATGTCGCCGCCGCCGCCGCCACTGCCACTGCCACTGCCGCCATCATCATCATCATTGTCCCGTACCAGGCCGCGGTGCTCGATGGGCCGCACCATGCCGTGCAGCGCGCGCCGCAGCCTGCGCACCGCGGCGCCCTTGGTACTCCTCCTCCCCGCCGCCGTTTCCGCCGCGGCCTCGGCCTCCACCAGCGACTGGAAGCCGAGGCAGACGCCGAGCGCGGGCAGCAGGTCCGCGTCGGGCAGGGCCCAGACGCGGCGCATCAGGCCCACGTCGGCGGCGACGGCGGGCGAGCCCGGGCCCGGTCCGCACACGACGGCGTCGTAGTGGGCCAGCTCGCGCGCAAAGGCGGCGGAACCCGTCGAGGCGGCGGCGTGGTCGATGGGCAGCACGTGCACGTCGACGTCGAGCTGCGTCTCCAGCATGGACGTGATGTTGCTGGAGAAGGAGTCGTAGGCGTCCAGGAAGAGGATCCGGCGCCGCGGGGGGCCGTCTGCGGCAGCCATGGTTGCTCCTCTCCTTGTCTTGGGGCCGCCCTCTTAGGGGTTGGGTGACGGGGGTGGAAAGGGGGGGTGTGGTAACCCCACGCCCCTATTCGATTGCCGGTTGCTTCTCCTGCCCGATGTGTAGAGTTGCGCTTTGTTGGTTCCTGGAGCGGTTTTTTTTTTCTCGTCTTTTTTCCCGTTGGCTCTGGACGCTGGGCAAATTTTAAACCAGGGCAGCCGCAAGCCTCAGCCCATGGAACGGCCAGCAAAGTGGGATTTTAGGGCCTGCTGGCCGTGGGCAAGGAGTTGAATCGAAGGCGACGGAAGAAAAGGAGGGAAGAAAAAATGGAATGTTTATCTTCGAGCTACCGCCACCTGGATGGCTCACAAAAAGCTCCACCAACACCATTAGCTATTGCCCTTTTGGTATGGGGCCCGAGAGGAAAAAGAAAGAAAAAAGTTGGTTTAGATCAGCGGGCCAGCGGGTTTTCCCGGCTTAACGTTTCCATAAAGCGTCTGGGTTGCCCCCTATTTTTTTCTGTTTGAGCCCAGCTTCAGCTGCTAGCGTCGAACGCTCTGGGCAGGGGTGTGTCATCAGCCCTCACCTCACCCTCGCTTTGGCGGCATTGTCACCTGTCACGGCATAAAACCCAACAAAAGAACCTTCATCTCATAATTCTTGTTTTTTTTTCTCCTTTTTTCTTCCTTTTTGGGCATATCCAACATCAATCACCCAACAGCAGACAGGCAGGTTATCAACAGTGGGCGAGGGGAGGGGGGTGTATAGCCACCCATGTACAAAAAGCAAAAATAAATAAAAAATAAAAGCCTCCCTCCCCCTGGCTAGGTCATCCAGGCACTCGCCCATTCACTCCCTCTCCCTGACAACGACGTAGCACGGTCGCCTCGTGTGCCAGATGCGCCTCTCCGTCGCCCCGAGCACCGCGTCCATGAGCGTCTGCGTGTCCGACCTGGGCCTCGGGCCGGCGCCGGGCCCAACCGGCATCCCTCCCCCATCCTCCTCCTCGGCCTTCTTCTTCTTCTTCTTGGCCTCGTCCCCCTCTTCCTTCTCGGACGCCGCCGGCCGCCACAGTTTCGTCTCCTCGACCGAGGCCGTGATCTCGAACTCGCCCCTGCACAGCGCCGTGACGCCGATGGCCACCTCGGCGCTCTCGCCGCCCGGGAGCAGCGGGAGCGTGCGCTGCAGCGTGCCGTTCCACGCCAGCTTGCGCGTGAAGTCGAGCGCCACGTTGAGCGACCGGTGGCAGAGCGCCGGCATCAGCCGGATCGTCGGGTAGATGGGCTTGGCTGTGCGGTTCGTCACCCGCGCCCGCAGCTGCGCGAGCTCGTCGACGAACACGTCGTTTTTCCTGTTGCCACCGCCGCCGCCGCCGCTCTGGCTGCCGTCAGTGTCGGCGTCGCCGTTGCTGCAGTCACGGCCCTGCTGCGTCACCCACAGCTCGATGCCGACCTCGTCCACCTTGACCGCCTCGATCATGCGGGGCGTCAGCCTCAGGTTGCGCAGCTCAACGTCGCCGGTCCGGCCGTTCACGGTGTTGATACTGCCGCCACCGTACGACGATGCGCTCCCTGTCCTCCACTTGGCCCCCAGCCGCTTTAGTATGCGATCTCGGTACCAGAACGCCTCCCTCGAAGCCCTCTCGGCCTCGGGCGAGATGGTGGTGCTGACGACGAACTGCCGCTGCCGCGCCGGGTTCAGCGCCGGTACCGCCTCGTGCGGGTTGTCGACGTAGAGCCGCTTAAAGGGCACCACCACCCGCCACGTGTTGCCGGGCAGTATAGTGTCGTCCAGCTTGACCCCGTCCGCCGTCGTCAGCTCGATGTGCATGTTGTTGGGCCAAGAGTTGCGTAGGTCTAGTAGGAGCAGGCAGTGCTCCTCGTCGGCGGGCAGAGGCGGCTTGGCTACGGCATCTTTGTCTACCTCGTCGGACCCTTCGCCATCGTGCTCCTTCTTGCCGTAGCAGCCCAGCAGCCTCCGCGGGATGCCGTCGTGGAGTGGGAGTATGTCGACCCTGGTCAGCTCCACGCTGGCGTTAACGGTGATGGTGAGCTGCAGCGTCGCCTGCCGCGTGTAGAACTTCTGCGGCAGCTCCTCGGGCGGCACGCCCAGATGCGCGTAGTCCACCTGGATCACCCCGCTCGTGAGCCCCGGCTTGCCCAGTATCTCAAACTCGAACGTGGCCTCCTCGCCTGGACCGATGTACCGCCGGGCACTGCTGCCACCACCGGCCTGCCCTCCCGCCTTGCGGAGCCGCAGCGCCTGCTTCTTGGCTAGTATCAGCTCGTACTCGTACAGCTCCGCCGGCGTCGCGTCCCTCCTGTTCAGCGCCTGCTGCAGCGGCTCCTGCGTAGAGTCCTGAAACGAGAAGAGGAGGAAGTCGGCCGCCGTCGTCTTGGACAGGTTGTGCAGCGTCGCCGTAAACACCTGCCTCTCGCCCTCGAGGATCATAACCGAGGACTGGGGCAGCGACGTGGACTTGACGACCACAATAGGCTGCTCCTCAATCACGTTGAGTGACAAGCGCTCGATCTTGGGTGCTGTCGAGGCCGGATTGGGCTGGCGCACGTGGTGCTCGAGCGCGGCCAGCCCGATCGCCTTTGGTTTAAGCTCGTCCTCTGGCTGCCACGCCTCTAGGAAGATGGGGAACCGCCGCTCCCGGCAGCCCCTGACCTTGATTATTGCTCCCGTGATGTGTAGCGGCCCGGGCGCCTTGGGAGTGCCCGACAGCCGGAGGATCTGGGTGCGGTAGGGTCCAAGGAAGGCGCTAACCACCGAGGACTCGAACGCGGCACCGTCAGCGTCCAGCTGCACGCGCTCGAGCTCTATCTCGAGGTCGTACGGGTTCTGCAGCGTGAGCTTGAACATGACCGACTCCCCCGCCACGAGGCCCTGGTCCGCCCCGGCCTTGTCAGGAACCTTCATGAACGGGTTGTGTATCAGCGGGTCGAGGTCCTGCGAGCTCCTTGCTGTCGACGCCCCGACGAGCTCGCTTTTCTTGTGCTCGGTCGGTGCCCGCGCCGGGGCCAGAGGCTCGAGCTTGACGCCCCTGAGCAGGAACTCGTCCCAGAACTCGGCGGCGATCTCGCCCATTCCCAGCCGCTCCGCGAGGCTCGAGGTTTTCAGGATGTTGGTCATGAGCCGGACCTGCTCCTCGCGCGATATTATCGGGGCCGCGTCCTCCTTCCTCGGCCCCGGCGCGAGCCCGCTGCCGGCCGTCCGCAGCAGGTCGCTAGAGTACCTCAGGACGCCGCTAAAGTCCGGGAGGGCCTCGGAGAAGTTTATGCACGCCCGCAGGATGTTGAGCTTCATGCTGGAGATGCCATAGAATCTAGCGCTGGCCTGCTTCTGTATCCTCGCCACGACCGCCGCATCCGAGTCGTCGCGTGACGGCTCGGTTCCCGGCGAGATCATGGCGGCCATGTCGAACCCGACCACCCCGTATGTCCTGAGTAGGAGGCCGAGGAAGGCATCCATCCCCTGCTCTATATCACCCTCCTCAAGCTCCAGGGCAGCAGCCCCGTTCGTCTGGCCGTTGGCGCCGTTCAGGGCCGCCAGCCCGGCGGCGGGGTGGATGCCGACCTCTGCAGCACCACGGGTCCGCGCCTCCACAAGGCCGCCTACAAGCACCGAGACTAGCTCACGCATCACCAATGCCTTCTTTCGTTGGTACCCCAAAACTCCAAGCACGGATGCGATGCCCGTCAGGATCACGACGCGGTCGACCGTGCTGATCAGCTCTGCCTGCGAGCTCGGGAACGCCTTGAACAACAGAGTCATTATCTGGGTCCGCGGCGGGGTGACGGTCAGGCGGGGCGACGACGTCAGCGCCTTGTCTGGCGCCTTGCCCGTCACGAGCAGCTCGATCGTCTTGACCGTAAGCCTCCCGTCGCAGATGTGGAGCGCCGCCGTGGTCTTGCAGAGCCTGATGATGGCCTCGGCGAGCGGGAGCGGCGGGAGGTGCTCGGACGATATGCGCGAGTACAGCCCGACGATGCGCTCCACAAGTTCCGGCAGGATGGACTGCAGGCTGCGCCAGCACTTGGGCTGGTTCGGGTCCGCGTTCTTCTCGGCCTCGATGGCCGCCATGGCTGCCGCAGTCGCGGCGTGGGCGGATGGCTTCTCGCCAGGGGGCGGCAGGCAGATGGTCGGCACCTGGAACTGGACACCGGCCCAACCGAGCATAATCAGGCATACGACTATCATCTCGAGAGCTTTGCCTTGCCAGATGTGGTCGTTAATCGACCGGGCGACGGTGGCGCCCTCGATGAGCTCCTTGAGCGCGTCGGGCCAGCGGCCGGCCATCAGGTAGAGGGAGCCCGTCACGATGGTGATCCTGCCCTTGCCCTTGCTCCTCCACCGCTCGTTGAAGCCGCCCCAGCCGAAGCCCTGCACCGAGACCCTGTCCTGGCTAACGCTCCTGGAGTTGTCGCTGGCTCCGCCGCCGGAGCGCGAGGTGCGCGCGTTCTGCTCAGGGGTTGGCGGATCCGAACCGAACTCGGACTCGGCAGTGGTCGGGAGCGCGCTGCCCACGGGGGTCGACGGGCGTGCAGGGGTGGAGCTGTTGGAGCCGAACCCGCCGCCCGAGCTCTTGGAGAGCACCGGCATGGACATGCGGTTCGAGGCCGAGGCCGAACTAGACCGGGCGGCGGGCGCAGATATTTGCGAGTTGCGCCTCATCGTATCGCCGCCGTTCCACGACATGCCGTTTTGGCGCATGGTAGAGGTTTGGCCGGGAGATTCCACGTAGGGGACGGCCTCGAACGACTTGGCCAGCATCGTCATCTCGGCCAGTAGCACGGCCGAGATGTCGCACATGACTGTTCTCATAGTCGTCCTCTTGCAGTCCTGGATGGGGGGCACAGTGACGATGCCTTCGGGTATCGGGATCGGCTCGTCCTGGTGCTCCACATGGTCGAAAACCACAAGTTGATGGACAAGCACTTTGGGGTACTGGTCGCGCAGCTCCTCGAGCTCCTGATATAGGGACCTGATATTCCTCTCGGCCGTGGTTCGACCGCCGCCGGACTGCCTCTCGGAGAGGACTGGGCTGTCCATCTCGGACCCGTCAGCGATGGCTATAATGGCCATGGGCTCTCGGTACAGGTCGAAGGGGTAGAGGCCGAGGTGCGCCGCGTGGGGGAAATGGGTCGCGAACTCGTAGAAGATTGCGCCATCGGGGAAAGCCAGCGGCGAGAACATGTCTGCGGGGAATTCAGGGCACGTCAGCAATGGGGGGTTCGCACATGGAGGGGGGTCGGGGCCGGGCGGCCGACTCACTTCTGTTCGGCCGGTTGTCCGGGCTGATATCCCTGAGGTGGACGACATGCTCGGCGGCCAGCCTCTCCAGAAAGCAGAGGAAGCGGCTGCGCCTTATCCGGCCGACGGGCAGCACCAGCGCCTTCACCCTCGCCGGCGCGATGGGCAGGAGAGGATCGGCGTTCATCCTCGGGTCAGCCTCATGCCTCCCTGTCGTCGCGCTCTACCTGGTCCGCTGTAGCTCTCTGTGCTGGGCCGGGGAGAGTCGCATGTCCAGGGGCGCGCGCGTGGGGGGAGAGCAGACGGGATTAGGGGGGGGTAGCGAGCCGGGCCGGGTCGGGTCAAGGGCAAACGTAATGCGGTGTTCGGGGTTGTGCGCTGCCTGGTGGGGAGGCTTCGTGTGTTTTTGCATTTGTCGTCGACACGTCGACGTTACCGAGGTATCTGGCGCCTGTACCTGCGATGGGGGCATCATCCATCATGCATTGGCGGCGCGGTCGGTGGGTCTGGGGCTGATCTTATCGGCACGTGGCCCGAGCGTTGTGGTCCGCAAAGGCCCTGCAGCGGGCCGTCGAAAGGTGCCAGCGCAAACACTCCAGGGGCAGATGCAGTAAAACATGGGTGGCAGGGCCCTAAAACGAATGTCGCATGTCGCACCATTGCAGCCCCGAGAACGAAACACGCATTGCTGCTATCGCCCTTCGCTGCCGGGGTGTTGATTTGATTCTATTCTCATTTCTTTCCACCACTAGGAAGTTCAAATCAAGCAAGACATTCGATTCCAGAAAAGATCACCCACAACCTCATTAAGAATCAAAACATAGCGACAATATCTAGTATCTACTGCTCAAACATGACTCCAACGACAATGACGCCTCCGCTGTCCCATAGCACGCATTCCCAAAAGTTCCTTTTACCCTAGCATACCCCGACTTCACGGGCCAGCCGATGTCAGGTCCGCCTCCTGGTCCCTGCCAGCCTGCTCTTGCCCCTCGGCGCCAGGGTGGTCGACGCCGGGCTCGTGGATGTCGACGGCCAGGCTGGCGTCCACAAAGTCCTCGAGCTCCTCGGTCACGGTCCGCAGCTTCTCCTTGACCGCGATGCTGCCCTCGAACCCGACGATGTGTCGCGCCGGCGGGTTCTCGTGCCCGCCGATGGCCGTGAGCGCGTGCACCGTCTCCATGACGAGCTTGTCGAGTGCCGCCGCGGGCAGCCGCGGGTACCGGTACAGGATGGAGTCACCACTGCTGCTGTTGCCACTGCCACCGTCTCCACTGCTGCTCCCGCCGGCCGCTGCCTGTTGTTGCTGCTGGTATTGCTGTTGCTGTTGTTGCTGCTGCTGCTCCGCCACTGAGGTCTCCGGGTGCGCATTGAGCACGTTGGTCAGCATCTCGCGGATCGAGGGCGCCGGGTTGACGTCACTGTCGTAGAAGGGCAGCTGCGGCGTCAGGATGATGCGATTGGTCAGCGACTGGATCTCCTTGTTGGGCTGCACGATGGTCAGCTTGATGTTGAAGGGCGCTATCTCGTAGGCGAGCGAGTCGCAGAAGCCCTCGAGGGCCCAGGTGGCGGCCGTGTAGATGGGCATGCCCGGCGTGCCGATGTGGCCACCGATGCTGGTCAGGATGATGATGTGACCAGTATGCTGCTGGCGGAACTGCGGCAGCGACGCCTTGATGAAGTTGACCTGCGAGAAGAAGATGGTCTCGAACTGGTCACGCACCAGGTTCTCCGTGGCCGGAGACGTGGACAGTTCCTCAACGGTGCCGACGACAGCTGCGGAGGTCAGCACACGATGTGATATTGTCGTTTCGTTGGACAGCACTCAACGCGCTACTTGCCTTCAAACTTGCAGCATAGCAGAATGTCTATCCGCCCAAAGACCTGGACGGCCTCGGCGACGGCGGCGCCGCACTGGCCCATGACCCTGCCATCGCAGCGGATGCCGCGGATGCGGTCCTTCCAGCCCTCGCGGTCGCGGCGGCTGCTCTTGCACTCGTTGATGAGCTCGCGGAACTCGGCGCTGCGCTCCTCGTTCTCCACCTCGTGTGGCGGTAGGCAGGCGACGACGTAGTCGCCGTGGGCCAGCAGCAGGCGGATCAGGCGGATGGCCAGGGGGGAGAGCGACTGCGTCAACAGCCACGTCCTGGGCGAGTTGTGCGTTGCTGGACCGTCCATCAGCCGGTCGGTTCTCCACGCTCCATGCGCAGGGAGGGGTCAGGGATTCTGGGGGGAAGGGATGGCTGGGATGTGTGGGATGGTGGAGGGGGCGTGTGGTTAGAGGTAGGCGACACGCATCTGGCGCGCACGCGACAAGGCGGCTTCGCGGTGTGGTGTGTAGCGGCAGCAGTGGTAGTGACAGTGGTAGTGGCGGCGGCACGTGTGTATGCAGTGGGTGTTGGAAAGGGATGCATCATAGCTGGTGTGAGCGTGTGCGGGGGACGGCTCAGGTGGGAGCGGGCTGGAAATGGATTGAAGGGCTGGGCCACCACCTAAACTGGCGCTGCCGTCCTAGGTTATCTTGTTTGATCCATTTCGGACGGGGCAGAGATGGAAATGGAAGGACCACTTCAGCCTGCCTTGCGGCAGGCCCAATCGTAGAATTTCCTGCTTGAATTTAGGCCGGATTGAGAGAAAGCCAATGACACGATGGAAAATCGGTGCTGCTCACGAAAAGATGCTGCTGGCGCTGCATGCAAGTGGCGACTCGGGCCAGCCTCCGAGTTCTTTCGTTCCGCCATGGCTTTTTTTTTTTTTTCCCTTTTCGTGTTGTAGCTGCCTCTTGGCTCTTCGCTCAAGACTCTTGTAGCTCCCGGCGATTTTCGCTTTGCCTGCTGTTAGCGAAACCGACCGACGGCCAAAAACAACGCCAAGTCACCTCGGCATCAAACATCCTCCAGCGACTCGATGCGCCAATATGATAAACCAAAGAAGAAATGGGCAAAAGTCGAGGAGAGGATTGCTGGGACAGGTAGATCCGCCTCCCCTCCACCTCAACCTCCCCGGCCTTCCTGAAATCTGCTTATGAGGCGCAAGGCGCCGCCCCGGGTCTGACAAGGTGCCGAGAGCTAGTGCTGGTTGGTGGAGGCCGTCGTCGGCCGGATATAGGCGATGCGCCGTGCTAGGCAAACAGCCTGTGGAACGGGCACAGTCCAGGTTTTTTATCCAGACAAACGCCAGCTCGGCTTCTGTCCCCTAAAAGACACCCCAGCGTCACCGAGTGCCGTGTGGCCGCCCCGGTGCTCGGTGAGACGAACAGAGTTTTCCCAGTGCTCTTCCCGTGTTGTTCTTAGAAGGGATCGAGCCGCTTGTCAGCCAGATGCCTGAATTGTGCTGTTCTTGAGGGCGCTGTGTGGAACCCTGATAGTTGTAGGCGAGAGCGCGAGACATGGAACGTAGGTAGCTAAGGTAGGTATGTTGATGTGTAGGCGGTAAACAAGTATGGGGTCGGGTGCGTGCAAGTGAAGCTATTGCCGTCAGTTGGCGGATCCTACCGTCTCCAACCACAATTGATCAGGGACGCCTGTTCCTAGACTCGAGGGATTTGGGGGCCATTTGCTCGGAGGGAAGGCGGTATAAATAAGCAAGACCCTCGGAAGACACGCCGGCATGGAGCCCGATGCGAAGTGGTCAAAAGGAGGCCATGGGACCATGAACTCGAGGGGCACTGAGCTCCGCCCTCTGCCCGAGGCCCCAGGGCGACTCATGATACGATGTGTGCCCATAAACCCATAGCAGGCGTGGCACCTATACAAGCTGCTGACAGAGACTTATATCATCGCAGATCCGTAGGTGGAGCGATGGGCACCCGCATGCCGACGAGACGAGCCCCCGGAAATAAATCGCGGGGATGGGAGGGGAGGGGAAGGAGGCCCATATTCGCACGTCTGGATGGGGCACTCGACACTGCTTGGTGCGGGTGCTTGGTGCGTTTCCCCCATGCACGTTCTGTGTGATGGTGACAAAGGCCAGGCCAAGCTCGCTGACTCGCAGCGGTCGAGGGTAAACGTTAACCCAGCCCACCGCCCTGCCGGGTTGACTGGCTTCGAGCCGTTGACCTCGAACCTAGGGCTTGTCCGGATGACGAACCAGCCAGCAGCAAGATCGAATACGCCGGCCGACACGAAGTTCTCTCTCTCGACGTACACGTACCAGTACGAACTCCCCGATCAATGCCGACGTTTCGTTTGCTTGGCGTAGCATCCGCTTGAATATCCGCCCCCGGACGCATCAATCATTATTCGAAATGTTCTGGATCTGGTATCGGCCCAGGCGCCAGAAACAGGACATGCTTGATTAAAAGCCCGATACCAGCCCGCATGGAGAGCTTCAACGGTAGCCAATCCCGCCGCCCGGAGTTCCTGACCGGTTCACGCACCCCAGCGCCTGCGCTGGCCCAGTCCTCGGGCGTTTGGTCCGACGTTTCAGACGGGCTGCAAGCAGCCCATTCCCGGGCGTCTCTTGGTTCTAGGTCTTGGGCAGACTGGAAGCCATGCGCCCTGCTGGATGATGCTCGCCCGGTCTGGTCGGCTGGCCGGTTGGCTGGTCCCCTTCGTCCCCCTGACGAGCCCGCCCGTGCGCCGACGCAAAGCCAGCGGCCTGGTCGTCGGGTAAAGTGTAAGAAAGGGACAAAAGTCTGGGGAACCCATGAGCCCCTTGTCCAGGCTGGCTGCAACATTCCTATTGGGCATTCAGCACACCAACAGGCCTTCTTGCTCTGGGGTCGTTTTGACGAGTTGCTTTCCCTTCTAAGGTGGCTGCATCTTCATCTTGTGCGTCCCATGTAGCACAACTTGGTGGTTTGCGTCGCCGGAAGACGGATGGACTGGCGTTCTGCAGCATCATCCATCATGCACTCCGCAACTGTTTGCTCTGGCCCATGATGATGTGTTTGCAAGCACCCTCTCGGCGTCAAGCGTGTGTAACCTACCCCCAAGTTCGGTACCACAAACCCAAGCTAGCTCCCCTCGGGACGGCAGGGACCCGCACGTCAACGCTTGTCATCCCTGGGGGCGGCCCTAATAGTGGGGGGTGGTGCCCCACCAGCGACCCCGCCAGGCAGATCCGAGATCGGGACAGGCTCTTGTGTTCGGCTTTTACAAAGAAAAAAGAGTCATCGATGTGACAAAGGGATGTGACTCGAACGGGACTGCTGTTTCAGCAGGAAATACCAGGTACTGTAGTACGGTCCAAGACAGACAACACAGTCGAGTCGAGGGAGAAGCCGGTGACCATCCCCCGTTGGCACAGGACAAGAGACGAAGCAGCAAAGATGCCCTCGAGAGCAGACATCACCTACTTCGGCGCCGGCCCGGCCGCCCTCCCCACCGACGTCCTCGAGCTGGCCGCGGGGGCGCTGCTGGACTACAACGGCACGGGGCTGGGCATCGCCGAGCACAGCCACCGGTCCGAGCACGCGGCCACCATCATCAACGAGGCCAAGGCCGACCTGGCCTCGTTCCTCGACGTGCCGCTGGACGAGTACGACGTGCTCTTCATGCAGGGCGGCGGCACAGGCGGGTTCGCCGCCGCCGTCTACAACCTCGTCGGCGCCTGGGTCGTCCGCCAGCGCGCCGCCGCCGTGGCCGAGGGCGCCCTGGCCGCCGACGAGGCCGACGAGGCCGCCGTCGCCGACGCCCTGCGCCCGCGCCTGGCCTCCCTAAAGCTCGACTACCTCGTCACGGGCGGCTGGTCGCTCAAGGCATCGCAGGAGGCCGAGCGCCTGCTAGGGCCCGAGCATGTCAACGTGGCCGCCGACGCGCGCGCCTGCTCCCCGGACGGCGACCGTGGCAAGCGGTTCGGCGCCATCCCCGCCGAGTCGACCTGGCGCCTGTCGGACGACGCCGCCTTTGTGTACTACTGCGACAACGAGACGGTCGACGGCGTCGAGTTCCCGGCCTTCCCCGATTCCCTGCGGCCGCGCGCCGACGGCTCCGGGGGCGGCCCCATAGTCGTGGCCGACATGTCGAGCAACATCCTGTCGCGCCGCGTGCCCGCCCGCAACTTCTCCGTCATCTTCTTTGGCGCCCAGAAGAACCTGGGCTCCACGGGTGTCACCGTCGCCGTTGTCAAGAAGTCGCTGCTGCCTCAGCCGCCCGCCTCGCTGCTGCGCAGGCTGGGGCTGCCCGTCGGCCCCATTGTGCTGTCGTACGAGACCATCGCCAAGAACAACAGCCTGTACAACACGCTGAGCATATTTGAGTGAGTTTTCAAGTCTGGGACACCCTTTAGACCCCTACATTTCACAAGCCTGCCCCCTCACTTCCTATCTGCACCTGTATAAAACAACCAACACCAAATCAGCGTCTACATCGCCGGCCAGGTCCTCAAGAAACTCCTGGCCACGTACGCCACCGACAAGGCCGCGGGCCAGGAGGCCGTATCAGCCTCCAAGGCCGCCCTCATCTACGGTGCCCTCGACGCCCACCCGGCCGCGTACCGGGTTGTGCCCGACACGGCCGCGCGCTCGCGCATGAACATCTGCTTCCGCGTCGTCAGGGGCGGCACCGACGACGACGCGGCCGAGAAGGCCTTCCTGGCCCAGGCCACTGCCAGGGGCCTGACGGGCCTCAAGGGCCACCGCAGCGTCGGCGGCATACGTGCCAGCAACTACAACTCCATCCCGCTCGAGGGCGCCCAGAAGCTCGCTGCCTTTATCGAGGAGTTCGCAAAGGCTTGAGGGGCATCTGGTTAGGGACAACGGTCTGTGGAAAAAGTAAAAAAACTTGTTCGGATGTGCTAGATTCATCTTCTAGGCAAAAAGAACGAGGGCGGTTCAACAGAGGCCTCGGTCGCGGCGTTACTGAAATTGTCCTTTTGCGAGTGGACTTGGGTATTTGACCACTCCACGATCCTAACCCGCCGTGTATTATACTATTCATGACTACCTACATATCTAGGGGTTGATGAGAAATGTTATTCCCAACCCAAAACACGCAAAACCTAAGCAAATGCTAACATCCCCAAATTTCCAAGCCTCTCAAACACAAGTCTCGGCGATGGGGTCAGAAACCAAGATAGATAAATACAATACGAAGAAAGAGAGTAATTCAAGAGCAACCAATTACGTCTTCTTTTCAGCCCACCCGTCGCCATTTTGGGCCACCTCATTCCTAGGGAGGATCTTGACCTCCCGGCTCAGCAGTCCCCTCAGCTCAGGGGTGATGACTTTAACTACCTCCTCTGGCGCCTTCCCGCCTGGCGATTTTGCAGCCCCGCCCTGAGCAGATCCCGATTGCGGCTGCGGCTGATTCCGTTGGCTGGTAGACGACGAGGGGCCCGAGGGCGAAGCTGAGTCTGTGCCACCGGCAGCTGTGGAGGCGGAGGACGATGACTGCCCCAGTTGAGGTCTCGAAGTGCGCGGTGCCGGGAAATTGTCCTTCTTGTCAATGGCCTCAACCAGCCGCTGGAATCGCCGGAAGAGAGCCTCCGCCCGGATAAGGGTGGATTCGAGGTCCATTGTGCAGGAGAGCTCGTTTACTGTTTGTTTGAGAGTTGATCAGCAATGGCACATCAGACTACCCAAAACATACACCCCCTTGAAAGAGTCTCCAAGGGAAACCCCCTGCAATAGACTTACCGTATTTCAAAACCTCGTCAAAGTGCTTGAGGTGGTTCATCATGACATCCCTATGCTTCTCGAGGATGGCGAGGGCAAAGAAGAGGTGGAAGCTACTGGTGAGGCGGTCGGTCCAGAGCACCTCCCACAGGCGCAGGACGTCGTCCCACGCGAACTCGCGCTTGTACCAGACGAGCAGCATGCGGAAGAAGAAGAAGAAGTTGGTGCTGTCGGCCGACCGCAGGTGCGCGTACAGCTTTGGGTCCATGAACTGCACTAGGTGGTCGAGGGCGAGCAGCTGGGCGCGCATGCCCGACTGGTCGCGCAAAAAGTTGCGCTCCATGCGGTCCATGAAGTGCTGGAAGCACCAAAAGGCCACGGCGTCGTCCTGCACCACGGCGTAGATGGGCGCCAGCAGGTCCGACATGCCCTGCACGTAGCCCAGCTCCCTGTTGTACTCGTTGTATGTGAGTAGCAGGTCCTTGAGCTGCTCCAGGTGCACGTTGGTCCCCGTCGCCGCGAAGGGCGAGTCCGGGTCCGGGTGCGGCTGGTTCTCGCCCGCGAATATTGACACGTTGCGGTCCGTCCGGTGCACGTCCTTCTCGATCCGAGCCCGCTGCTCCCGCCACCACTCGCCCATCTCACCCTGGCCCCCGAGGTCCACGAGCCGCTCCCACCAGGCGCCCTTGAGCTTGACGTAGCCGTCCCGGAGCGACGCCAGCTGCGCCCTGCGCTCGTCTGCCGTGCTGTACCAGTCGTGGACGCCAAGGAGGAAGAGCCACGCTTCCTTGCGGACGCCGTCGTCCGGGTCCAGGCCGCCGTGGAAGATCCTGTCCTTGACCTCGTCAGGGGTGACGCCGAGTCGCCCCGTGGTCGGGTCGAAGAAGCCGTTCCACTCTTTCAACGTCACGACCCGCCGCTGCTCCTCGAGCGAGAGGGCCGAGGCGCCCTCGAGCAGCTCGAACTCGCCGACGTCCGTGTCCTCGAGCTCCATGACCTCGCGCGCCGTCCAGATGCGCTGGCGGCGGTCCCGCTCGCTCTGCTCGGCGATGCCCATGGCCCAGCGCGCCAGGTAGATGCGGGCGCTGTCGAACTCCTCCTGCAGCGTCTGCACCTCGGGGTTACGCATGAGGCGCCGAACCTGCGGCGGCACGCGCGGGTTGTCCAGGACGTCCTGCGCGGCCTGTCGCGTAAAAGTAGTCACCTGGCTGAGCTTCTCCATGATGTTCCACCCCGTCTCCTTGACAAACTTGGTGAGGGGGTCCATGCCGCCATCCCCGGGCCTGGGCGCGACCGCCGACGACGGGCCTGCGGCGGCCCCATCCCGTGCGCCGGCGCTCCGGGGCGAGCTTATGGTGGGCTTCCCGCCAAAGGCCTCCATGTCCTCCTTGCTCGGTTCGACGAGGTAGATGTTGGGCTCGGCGCCGCTGCGCTCGACCTTGACGTAGCGCCGCAGCCAGCGAAGCACCTCGTCGCCGCCCCAAAACATCTGCCCTTCCCTGCCGAAGGGATCGAAGCTCTCACGCGCGATCTTCTTTTGCCGCAGCATGGTCGACTGGCACTCGCTGTCGTGGAAGAAGAGGGCGGGGAAGGAATCGCCCGCACGCGTGTTGATGATGACGGAGCCGAACCACCAGCCCAGGCTCGGCGGGCGCACCAAGAGGCTGTATATGGCCGAGACGGGGACGGCGAATGCGTAGTGGCCGAGGGAGCCGCTGTGCGTGGTCACGGTCGGCGGCGGCGGCACGAGGAACGACTGTCGCGGGGGCGAGTCGCCCTCGCAGAGATCTACCTTGACGTAGACGCCGGCCGAGTCGCCGAGGGAGGACTCGGGAAGCCACGCGAGGAGCAGGTCGGAGGAGGAGGGGTCGGTCGCCGAGGGCCGCGACGCGGACGAGGTCGGGCGGCCGTCATCCCGGGCGGGCTTCTGCTGCAGCAGAGCGATGTACCCCGCGATGTTATCCTTGGAGGACGGGGTAGGGTGTATGTACACCTTGCCCTTGGAGTACAGGAGCTTGACGCCCCGGCCCGTCTCGGTGTTGGTGATGGTGTTGTAGTCGCCTTCCTCGTCGTCGCTCATGGCGTAGAGGCTGCCGGATGGTGAGGGGGATCGTCGGGGTGGTTGGTTTCCGGATGGGGCGGTTCCCAGCGTCATGGTTGTGAACGGTTGTTCACAAAGGCGATGGCGTCACCGAAACAGAAAGGGATCGGGCCAACGGTAGGCAGACGCTTCGGAGGGCGGAGTTCGGCTGGCGGACCTCCTAAACTGCTGTCTTGGGCCTAATTAAGCATCCCTAGATTGATGAGAGGCAGAGATCGAGGAAGTGGGGAGCAAAGAACCCGAATTTGGGTCGGGAAGGCTAAGGGACTGTAGGGAGCATCACGGAGGCCGTTCATGTGAGCATCAGGTGTTGGCTGTTTGCCTGTGAGACACGTCTGGGCCGCCACCACTGAGAGCGGCCATCACACTAGCATTGAGCTGATGAGGTCGTTTGTACCCCGCCACTGCAGCGCCCCACACGCGGGCTACGCATGTGTATGCGCCTCCCCGCACGGGGCGTCCCCAAGTACTAGCACTACTTTTCACAGCCTAAAAAGCCTGTGCTTTGGGGTCGGGGTACATTGAAGGTCCCAGCCCCGGGCAGGGTGGACAGGGGTGCAGCCTGGAGCCTGGCCACTGGAGGCGAAGGTTGCGTCACCACCAGCGCGGCCTTTAGAAGGCACTGGACAGGAATAGTTGACAGACGGGCATAAACAGTAAAGGACCCAAGAAAGAGGAAGTTTTCACAAACGATTCAAAAGCTACAGAGAAAATCCTCATATGTTTGCAAAGGGAATGTGGGTTGCAATGAGAGTTCCCTGGCCTGCAGGCTCAACGGCGCCGTGCGTTGTGGGATTGTCGAATAAGAGCAAAGCCAGTATGCGAATCGATACACCCACCGCAAGACGTATGACCCGGCAGTTTAGAGAAAGGTTATTGAACTGTATAAAGCCCAACATATTCTGGACACACGGTTTCGGGACTGCATCCATCCAGACGCCGCCATCAAGGTGACTATCTGTCCGCTCGTGTCGTGGGTTCTTTGTTTGCACAGCACCGCGGCATGCCTAGGCATATGTCGACACAGGCACGACCGAGTTCGATATCGAGGGGACCTTCTTCGTTGTTAGAGTGCCGGCTGATGGCAACCGTGGTGACATTTTGTGACAGCGACGGCTCCGCCGTCCATGGTATTTCGCCGCCGCGTCATCGCATTCGCGGCCCCTGGGGTGGACCTCTTCTCGGCCCTGATGGCAGGCCGCCCGCTTGTCGTCCACCACCACCGCCGCCGCCGCCGCCACCACCATAACCAGATGGCTGATTATCGTACATACCGCCCGGCGCAGACCTGTCCTCGTAGCCCCCTCCGCCTCCCCCTCCGCCGTAGCCACTACCACCTCCTCCACCTGCCCTACCCCCACCGCCGTAGCCCGCCCCGTTATCACTGCCGTACCCGCCGCCGCCGCCGCCGCTGCTGGGAGCCGGCGGCTGGTACGGGCCGCTGCCGACCGGGCTGACGGTCCTAGCGCCGCCGCTGGCCGGGCCGCCGCCGCGGAAGAGCTTGTTCCGTAGCCTGTCCTGCGCCGACCCGCCGCTCCCCGGCGGCGGCGTGCCGGCGCCCGGCCCTCCCCCGTATGCCGTCTGGTAGCTCCCGGCGCGCTGGCTGGGCAGCGGGCGCGCCTGCACCTCGTCGCGCGG